AGACCTGGCACTTCAAGAACAAGAGGTCATAGATTTAAACTAGCTAAACACAGATGCCGAAGAAATATAAGAAAATTCACCTTCGCAAATAGAGTGGTAGACGGTTGGAACAAGTTAAGTGAGAAGGTGGTGGAGGCCAAGACCGTCAGTAGTTTCAAAGCGTTATATGACAAAGAGTGCTGGGAAGACGGGACACCACGAGCGTAGCTCTCATCCTGTAACTACACTTAGGTAATTACTTAGGTAATTACACACACACACACATACGTACATATACATATATACATACATATATGCACACACACATGCATTTACATGCATTTGTCTCTTTTACTCTGACAGAGTGAGATAGCTGATAACAATACATTGAGGTCTGCTGTCGAAATAACATAGCATGGCATTTAACAGCGTTCAAGGCTGTTGTAAAAAAATATCATAACACTCCATTTAGCAGCGTTGAATTATATAGAAATCCTACTACAAATCCTACTAAGAATCATAAAAGAAATCCTACTAGAAACCTTACTAGGAATACTAGTAGAAATCCAACTAGATATTCCCTAGAAGTCTTACTAGAAATTATCCTGGAAATCCTACGTGAAATCACTTAGAAATCCTGCTAGGAAATCCTCATATTAATCCTACTAGAAATCCTACTAGGAATACTACTAGAAATACTACTAGGAATCCCCTAGAAATCCTACTAGAAATCGCCTAGAAATCTTAATAGAAATCCTATGAATCCTACTAGAAATCCTACTAGAAATCCCTCGAGAAATCCTACTAGAAATCCTACTAGAAATTCTACTAGAGATCCTACTAGGAATTCTACTAGAATTCATCCTAGAAATTCTACTAGGAATCCTACTTGGAATCCTACTAGAAATCGCCTAGAAATCCTACCAGAAATCCTACTAGGAATCCTACTAGAAACCATCTAGATATCCTACTAGAAATTCCACTAGAGATCCTGCTAGGAATCTTACTAGAAATCATCCTAGAAATTCTACTAGGAATCCTACTAGAAATCGCCTAGAAATCCTACCAGAAATCCTACTAGGAAATCCTACTAGAAATACTACTAGGAATCCCCTAGAAATCCTACTAGAAATCACCTAGAAATCTTAATAGAAATCCTATGAATCCTACTAGAAATCCCTCGATAAATCCTACTAGAAATCATCTAGAAATCCTACTAGAAATTCTACTAGAGATCCTACTAGGAATTCTACTAGAAATCATCCTAGTAATTCTACTAGGAATCCTACTTGGAATCCTACTAGAAATCTCCTAGAAATCCTACTAGGAAATCCTACTAGGAATCCTACTAGAAATCCTACTAGAAATCCTACTAGGAATCCCCTAGAAATCCTACTAGAAATAAAACCAGAAATCCCTCTAGAAATCTTACTGGAAATCTTACCATAAATCATCCGAGAAATACAGTCTGTTGTGGAAATATCATATCATTGCATTTAGCAGAGTTGAAGTCTGTTGCTGAAATATCATAGCATTGCATTTGCAGGGTTGAAGTCTGTTGTTGAAATATCATAGCATTGCATTTAACTGGTTTCAAGGCTATTGTAAAAATAATCATAGCATTGCATTTAGCAGGGTTGAATGTTGTCGAAATATCATAGCATTGCATTTTGAAGGGTCGAAGGCTGTTGTTGAAATATTAGAGCATTGCATTTAGCAGGGATGAAGTCTGTTATCGAAATACCATATCAATGCATTTAGCAGGGTTGAAGTCTGATTTCGAAATATCATAGCATTGCATTTAGAAGGGTTGAAGTCTGTTGTCAAAATATCATAGCATTGCATTTTGCAGGGTTAAAGTCTGTTGTCGAAATATTACAACATTGCATTGAAGTTTGTTATCGAAATATCACAGCATTCCATTTAAGTCTGTTGTCGAAATATCATAGCATTGCATTTTGCAGGGTTAAAGTCTGTTGTTGAAATATTAGAGCATTGCATTTAGCAGGGTTGAAGTCTGTTGTTGAAATATATATCATATATTGCATTTAGCAGGGTTGAAGTCTGATGTCGAAATATCATAGCATTGCATTTAGAAGGGTTGAAATCTGTTGTCAAAATATCATAGCATTACATTGAAGTTTGCTGTCGAAATATCATAGCATTCCATTTAAGTCTGTTGTTGAAATATTATAGCATTGCATTTAGCAGGGCTGAGGTCTGTTGTCGAAATATGTACAGGGCTGTACAGTTCTGTACAGTACTGTACAGTAATGAACAGTGCTGTACTGTAACATGCTGTACAGTGCTGTACTGTACTGCACAGTACTGTACAGTGCTGTACTGTACCATGCTGTACGGTACTATATAGTGCTGCACTGTTGTGCTGTACAGTACTGTACTGTACATCGCATTTACATCAGTGGAATTAGCGGGAGTTAGGTACAGAGACTCGATAGTTATCTGTAAGGTAGTCCTAACATTAGTTAGGGAGGATGGAATATCATTAGCAAGGGATGTC